GCAGGTCCTCCCACAGCCTGCCCTCCGAGCCCTCGGCGCAGCAGGTGAGTCCCGCGGCTCTGAGCGCGCAGCTCTCAGTGACAGACAGACGTCCGCTTCCCTGTCTCTTTCTTGTTAGTAGAAATAGCATCTTAAGGTATGACGTCAACCAGTGAGTCATTTGCCGTCTCAGATAGTCACGTGACAAAGGGATAGGTCAGGGTTTGCCCTTTTTTAGCCGGTTGCTTAGGCCAGCGTTTCTCAGAGAGTGAGCCACGGGGTGCTTGAGGGACTGCAGGTGGCTCGCTGGCTTTTAAAGCCTTCGTGACGGTCTTGGCGCGTCACGTCCTGCGGGCGGTCGATAGTCGGGTGATGGCAGCCGTGGGTTTTCCGTGTGGCTTTTCACCGCCAGCGGGTCAGTTGGGGCGCTCACTCCTAGAGGAGACAGTCGGCGCAGCCCCGACCGCGTGGGGGTTGCTGTCCCTGAGGAGACGGCTCCTGTCTGGCTGATGATTCTCAGCTGCAGGTCCTCCTCCTGCTGCTGCCCCGGGTGCCCTGCGGGGAGGCCCTGGTCCTCGGGCTGAGGCAGTCCTGTTGGCGTTTCGGTGGCGGGTGTGGCAGCAGGCCTGTCACCGAGGGAACACCATCCGACTGCCACCGCGTGGAGCCGCCCAGGAAGCAGTGCCCTGGCCTGGGGGCTGGCGGGTGCCTGAGAAGCGGTGCCCGCAGCCAGGCTGCCGTGTCCCTCGGTTACTGTCACGCAGGGGCAGTCGCGCGAGTTGAATGGTGTTTTTATCTGGGTGCTGTTTTACTTGGTTTCTGTTACATCTTTTCAGAAAAATTACTAAAATAGAATTTATATTTAGTAAGTACGTTTGTATCTGGCCTTACATTTTACTTTATCCTAAAGCTTTAACTGGGGAATACCATCAGGGCCAAAGAAATGTGTAAAGGTTTAAGTCTGCATTTAAACTTCGGAAGGTCTAGAGTACAGAAATAGGACATGCTGGCACTGTCCCTTAGGCACATGGGTGAGCTGTAGTTTGCGTTTATTTTTACAGGTGTCTGAGTGTGTCTACCTAGTTGACAGAAGTTAAGTTTATGCTTCTACATAGTGAAAAAAATATTAAAGTAAATGTGACTTAAAACTGTAACTATTGTTAGCAGTTAGCATTTACTCAGACTATGGGTCACATCTGTAAAAGCTGAAGGAGGACATATAGTCAAGAAAATAATCTGTTCGCTTAAGCTAATTAATGCCTAAAAGTAGGCTGTATCTTTTTGTTCAGAAAATGGAGGATCCTGAAGATGCTGTGTCCCCTGTTCCTCTCTCAGACTCAGTGGTCCTGAGTTTTTTCTCATTTTCTTGTGAGATGTACTGTTGTATTTTTTTTAATCTTTCCAACTCGTTGTCTCGGAGCTTTCTAGCATTGTTTTAGGACAGAAAGCGCACGTCCGTTCCAGGGTAAAGTGACTTCACTCCTAAAGGTCTGTGATGGGTAAGGCTCTTGGACAGCGTGAAAGTAGGTCCAGGGCTGCAGGTGCTGGGCTCCATGTTCACGCCCACAGGCGCCTGGGCACCTGACTGCGTGTCGGTGGCCTGTGGCGGGTAGAACTGGTCTCTCTCTGACCCGGTTTCGCTTAGTCGCAGAGCCTGACCACGCGTTGGTGAGGACTCACGGCTCCGGAAAACGCCCGCAGCAGACTGTCAGGGAAGAGTCCGTCTTAGCAGAAGGTCATCTTGTGACCAAAGAGCCGGAGGTTGGAGGTCATTTTCAGGGTCCTCTCCATTGTGCTGAGCTGGGTTTTCAGGGGCGTGGCCATGGTTCGTGGTTCATGGTTCGTGGCAGGCAGCGCGTGCTCTGTGGGGCCTGGGAGATTGTGTTCTGGAATCTTGTATTTGGTTCATCAAAACTACCAAAGATGTTTAAATTCTAAATGCTCTTTTTGCCTCAATCTTTGATGTCTAATTCCTGTGAACATTATATACACAGACACACTTTTGTTTTTAAGTTTCTGATAATGAATATGTTTTATTATGAATGAATTATATATATATATATATATATATATATATATATATTTTTAAATGTTTTTATTGATTTATAGAGAGAGCAGAGAGAGGGAGAGAGAGAAATATAGATGTCATAGA